AATGCCTCCCTTTACTGGCTTGCTCGAATGCTTGAAGGTGGTGAGGATCCACTCTATGTGGCAAGGAGGTTGGTGAGGTTTGCAAGTGAAGATATAGGTCAGTATTTGCAGTATTCCACATTGGAATATCACATTGAATGAAGATCTGCCAGGCTTCTCTGGTTTCTAAAAGTTGTCTTTTGAAAAGAAACAAACCCAAAAGAGTTACAGGCAAAGTAGGTACAAAATACTGAAATACTTCACATGCAACAAAAACTCTGTATATGCATGCAGAAACCTACATGAGTTTGTTATCATTGTGATGATAACCTATTTCAGGAAAGACAAATATTTTTGAGGTCAGGTTTTGTGTGTATTAATATGCATTCTTTTAAACCCTGCTTCTTGTAGGTCACCAGTAAACCTGTGCAACAGAGAGTACGTATTCCAGGGATGTCAGATTTTTTAATGTGTCTGGCATGTGAATGTCCACCCAGACCTGCAAACCTCAGGTTTGGTAGCTGGGTCCCTAGCCGTAAGGCATCTTTATTTACTTATCCTAGGTAGAAGATCCAGCAACACTTTTAGCACATATATGATGGGTGAAGAGTTAGGAGATCTGGGAAAGCTATTTCTGTGTAGCAATATTTCCCCATTTCTTTATCCATTTAAAAAAATAGGAGAGTCATATGTGGTCAGCTACTGCTCAGGCTGCCACTGTGTGGCAGCAGATTCAGTTTATAAATTGTACTCGTGGCTTAGAAAGAAAAACATGTGGATGGAGGGAGTGGATCTTATGTATGATATGGTATTGTACCAGGAATTCGTATGTATGAGAAAGCAGCTCTGAAATGTGCATGGATACTTTACAGGAGAAGAAAAAATAAAATGAAAAAAAAACAAAAGAGAGACATTAAATAGACTAAATTGACTTTAGCTTGCTTTTATCTGATCCCTTTCTGTAGGACTGGCAGATCCTCTGGCTTTAACACAAGCTGTTGCTGCTTATCAAGGCTGTCACTTCATTGGAATGCCAGAATGCGAGGTAAAGGCTTCATTAATTCACCGTTGTGCATTTATTGTTAAAAATGTGATATGTATAAACATTTACATATATGTTTATGTATTATATATAAAATGTATAAGCATTTTCCTTCTGCTTGTTTGCAGGTGATTCTAGCACAGTGTGTAGTGTACTTTGCCAGAGCCCCAAAGTCTATAGAGGTGTACAGGGCATATGGCAACGTCAAGGAATGCCTGAGGACGCACACAGGACCACTGCCCCCTGTTCCTCTGCACCTGAGAAATGCCCCAACAAGGCTCATGAAGAACTTGGGCTATGGAAAAGGCTACAAATACAACCCCATGTACAAGGAACCTGTGGAACAGGACTATCTACCAGAAGAGCTGAAAGGAAAAGACTTCTTCAAGGAACGAGACACATGACGGCTCTGCTCAGAATGGGTTTTCATTTTATGACTCTTAATATTTCTACTGGGATAAAAATTCCCTTTACAGTGCCTTTCACTGTGGTTGAAAGGATTAAGCCACTGAGCCTTTCAGATACTGTTTTATCCTTCTGCTTTTATGGCATTTGTTCAGAAGGTAAAGAATTGCAGTTAGGCAGTGTAGAAATGCAAAAATAAGCTTTCTCCATATAGTGCTGTCACTGGTTTAAATGAAACGAAGAAAAAACAAGAGACTTGTATTTCTGGCTCCTGCTGTGAGACAAGAAATATTGTTGTGCTGCTTTATAAAATCAGTGTCTATTTCAGATTTTGAGAACATTATTTTCCAGAAAAATTAAAAATTGTATCCCCTCTGCTGAAATACAGAACAAAATATAATTACAGAGTAATTTTTGCTCTTAAAATGTTTCAGAGACCAATTTTGTACAACAGTTACTAAACCAATAAAGCTGTTAGAAATAGTGTCTATGCAGTTGCTTAAATACTCCTGTGACAGCAGGATGATTTTGAAAGTTTGATATCCCTTCAATTTTATTATCCCTACTTTCCTAGAGCAAGTTCAATTCATTTTGTAAGTAGAATAGCCATGAAAATGGCCACTGGAGTGATACCAAGCTCTTTGCACCTCTCTCCAGCTGTGGTATGACCCAACTATCTGCGTTTCATCTGTCTGGAACACACCAGTTGCAGGGGGGTATTTCTTGACAGCAGAGGTATTTGGTGCTGTGTGGGGCTTAGATCAGAGGGGTTGCCACAGATGCACATCTGGAGTTCATTCAGAGCAACGTTAACAAGCCAGGAGGTCTGTGGGCTGAGAATGCAGAGCCAAGTCCAGAAGCCAGTTTTAGTCTGCTTGTTGCTCTTAATTCTCAAGACAGATTGATGACCCTTGGCCTTGATCAAAAGTTCTGGATATACAGCCTCCAAAACTTTGTGATTTGTATTGGAGATTAATTTTCTTGTGAGACTCCCTTCATACAAAGTTGTGCACGATGTAGGGCTGAAGCCAAAGATCATGGTGTAACTGAAATGTTTCAGAAATTGAACCTTTGCAAGATTGTGTACTGTTAGAGGGTTTGAGTCATATTCTTTAAACATTTCTATGTTCTCTTACTTCAAATAAGTAGTTTTTGCATGCTTTGAGCAAAGTGCTGTTCTAAAGAGAAGCAAGTATTTCAACAAGCTTAATTTACGTGCATTTGCATGCTTTTTAACACAATTCACTTTTCTCTTGTTTGGTTGGAACTTTCTTATCGGATGAATTAAGGGGGTAATTAATTAGGTTAGTATTTTTATCCTGATCGTCTTCTGAAATGTCTTTGGAGGAATAAAGCAAGGTATGGTCTTTTCCAGTGCTGGGGTAAATCTGACTAGGATATTCTCACCTTCAGAGGGCAGCACAGGTTGGCAAAGGGTTCAGAGGTGGTGCTTCATTCCTCAGCCTCCAGTGGAGGCAGAAATCATGCCCCTCACATCAGATCCATCAGACAGTGCTGTCTAATGGGCATAATATTGGTAACAAGAATGTTTCAAAGCCATTGTGTCTCATGGCTGCTCTCCAAGCCAAGCAGTATTTACATTTTCCCTTCCTCCCAGTGGTAATTAGCAGCACTGGAGAGTGGCTGCTTCCTGCTCTCTCCCTGCTGCTGATATGCATCTCTTCTATATCCCCTTAAAAAGGGTCATCTCTGTTTGAAGAGCTCCATGCTCCACTAAAAAGTCCATCAGGACCAGATGCACTCAGAGGTGAACATTTCACCCTCCACCATCTCCTGTCCTTCCAAAACAGACCCAAGACAAAAACATCCATTTCCTCTCAGTGCAGTTTATGCACTCTCCACACAGGATTGGTATTGCTTTCAACAAGCAGAAGCCAACCTCCTAATGAGGCTGCTTCAAGATGAAAAAATGGAATTAAAAAATCACAGAGCACTTTTCTTTGTTTTCTGGCTTTTGGCCACCCAGGGTTGACCCTGAGAAGCTCTCTGAAGGGCAAAAATGGTTATGAATTTCATGCTGCTATAGTGGTGTATTTATTTACTCTTCAGAGTGTAAAGCTTTAAGGAAATAGCAAATATTACAGTGTCACTGGAAAATTTGGATCCCATCAGGTAACAATTGCTTCTGTTGTAAGGAACACCATAAAAATCCACCATGCCATTATCTATTTTTCTCTGACATAAGTTGTCCCACTGATAAGAAATAATGTAGATCATGAGAAAGGCCATGCCATTGCCATTCCATATTGGGGAATTCAGTACTTTGAGAAACAAATTGTACTGATGTAAGTTGTTTCTTCCAGTAGTGACATGCCCATGTGAAAGATACAGATAGCCACAATGGAACTATCAATTAAATAATGCCCCAAATGAGTTCAGTTGCAGGATTTTTTTCAAAAATTACCTAATGAATATTGTTTCCATCATTTTGCTTGTTTGACTGTCACAGATAAAAATTCAAATGATACAGCTGGCAAGGAGTTGTCTGGACTTTTATACTAAATATTTATGTGAAATCATTATTTGAATCTTATTGTCCTGTTTTCCGTGCACAGAGTTTAAACCTTCAGTTTAACCTGTGGCCTGCATTTTTCTCCCTTTTCTGTGAGAATTTTCTTTCATGTTGAGAGAAAAGCCCTTGACCAAAATGCGTACCATTTTCCATGAAATGACTTAGAAATAGAAGTGTTTATACGAGCTGATTGTTTGAATTCCCATCTATCCTGAGGATACATTTTCTGGCTGCTGTGATGGGCTCATTATCTGAATTGCCAGCAGCTGCCTTGCATGTTCAGCATGTTTCCAGACAGGCTGCGCCGCTCTCCAGGATTTTGGCTGTGGTTTTTGTCTTTTGTTGTTCCTAAGTAGTCTGGGATTGCGTAGGCTTGTTAATGAATATGGCTAACAACATGCAGTTAGATGGTACCATGAGATAATATGACAGAACTAGCGGCTCACTACAGTAAAAAAAAATATCAACAACAAAAACCTAAACCAAAAAAAAGAAACCTAAACAAAAAAAAATCCCAAACCAAAAGCGAGGTTCTGATTTAAATTGTACCTTTTTATCTCAATGGGTGGAAGAGAACTGGACTTGTCTTATTTCTGTAAAAAACCATAGTGAATTGATACAAACATCCCTCTCCAAGACTTGATCAGGTTTATGTACTTTACGAGGATTTTAGTCATACATAGACATGTTCAAACCTTTTAACAGCAAAAGTATAACTACACATGCTCTGAGTTAACTCATCTGTGTAAATTTATCTCTAGTAAATTTACCTCTAGTATAAGGTGACGTAAAATGCAGAGATAACTGTCTTCCTTATCCACACTAATGGTATGTACTTCCTAGGATGAACAATTTCATCTATATGAATCAGACAAGAAACAGACAATTGGTGGTGGGTGGTGGTGGTTTTTCTATTTAGATCACAAAACCAAAGGGCTTTCCTAGGAAGTCTGTTAGCAGCAATACAAAGTCTGGATTACTCATCACAGCACAGTAAACAAATATTTCTCAGAGTTTTGTCTTGTTGTATAAAGGTCTGCTTAGGAGAGGCCAAAATGGAGGGGGAAATCCAGCTACTGTAATCCTCTCTTCCACAGAATCACGTTGTCTACTCAAACCAACAGACTGTTGCAAATTAGTTTTGAACAGGGTACTTGAGTACCCAAAGTGCTCAATTTACCAATTCCCTCCTAGGAAGTTTAACTGCAGTCAGGCTGACTTTTTAATGTTGCAGTCCTAAGGGTTAATAAAATATAAATCAAAGATTTTGCAAGCAGTATTTTTTTTTTTTGCAATGGGTGTGGATTTATGACTGCTACATTGCTAAGGCTAAGCTCCTGATTTTATATTGAGACTTATAATGCTTCAGCCTCTTATCTTGTATCTCTTTAACTCATTAAAATTACATTTTCTACCATTTTTCTCAGTTAAAACATCTTGTACTCAAAAGTACCTTGCTTTGAACTTAGTGAGGCCTATGTTCATTCAGTAGTTCTACAAACAAAATCCTTCTCAAGAGGTAGTTGAAGCAGAGTATTACTATTTAGAAATGTGAATACAGATAGCATGCCAGTTTTCTCTGTTGGAGTCAGCCCTTGTCAGTCTTTTCTTCTGACAAGAGCACAGGAAAAAAGTTAGGAGTATTAAGGGAAAAAACAACCATCTTTTTGTGGGACATTTGTGGGAGGGGAATATTGGCCAGTAGGGTTGCTGGGTTTTTTTAAATGGTTGAATGTGAAGCAGATTTTACTGAGATTCTTATTGCTGAGGTTTTGTTTTGTGTACCCTGTCTGTAGAAAACCAAACTTGTCTCAGTGTAATTGAGTTAGCAGTTCAGTTACTGAATGCTGATACCAACACAATAGACAGACATCAGTCTCCTCATAGTACTACGCTGATTTGTACAATTAGGCAAGGTTTTATCTTTCTTCTGATTTCCTGGTAATTGCTGCCCTAAAAGCAGCATGTCTCTTGCACATATTGACTGAGTTTGTGCAAATAAAGATAACAGTGTAATTAAATGGAGTTTTTGAGCCATGCTTTGGCAAACCCTGTCTGCAGCAGCAGCAGCTTTTTTTTGCTGAAATGCTGAAACAAGGCCCAGAAACTCAAACACAGTATCAAACTGTTCCAAATTTTGGCATGGGTTTTGTGCTAGTACTTTTTATTTTCAAGGCAGTGCATTTCCAAATCACTTGGTGCAGAGAGGATTGCATTCACACCTGCAGGCTGCAATACACGCTCTCCTTTGCAAACCCACCAGAGCCTTTGGAACCAGGCATTGCAGATCAAGTGCTTGTGCCATTTCATGAAACCACGACTCCCCCTGTTCCCTGTGGGGGTGAGCAGCTCAGCTTACACTTCCAGGGGAATCTGCTGGTTCATGCAATCATCTCTTCTATGCAGTAATTTGGTTTTCAGTATTTTCACCTACTCAGAATGACTTCAGACAGCCGGTCGCACCTGCTGCCCCAGTGGTTTTCTTTGGATCTACTCTTCAGACAGGTATTTTGGTACTCTTGAAATACTAAATTGCATGCAAAAAAAAATCCATTTTGGACAAAACTTTAAGTAAAAGACTTTTACTTGTTGCTTAAAGAAAACATTAAAATACAGTTTACAATTATATAAATTATCATGCCCCATTCAGAGCTGAGGTTGTACAGGTAAACGTTACAGTACCCAAGATACAAGCAAATAACCTCCAAAAATAAACACAGAACATGACAGTATGTTATTACATTGGCTACCAAGAATAAGGCTGTGGTACAGTACCAGAGGTTTGTGCATAAAGAGGTAGTAGAAGTCAGCTCAGTAAATGCAGAATCCTTATACATAAAGAGAAACATCAGATATTTCTTGCAGATTATGCCAAATCCTCCCCTGGGAAGCCGAAATATGTTTTGGGAATGACATAGGTTCCAGAATCTAATGTCATATTGGCAACTTCCAAACTTTGGAAAAGGCACCTAAAACCTCTAATCCCTGAAAAATTTTCTTATAACATTCAACGTAAATTTTAAAGATCCTCTATAAACACATCACCTAAAGTCCTTACTCATTTTTTTCTCCTTCTCACTCAGAAGCTGTGTTGCAATTTTTGTGGCTACTAGCTTCAAGGGGTTACTTTTGTTTAAATAGCTTAATCCTTTCTCTATTAATAGATGTCTCTAAACAAATGTTATCTGACCTTCTATTCCATGATAGAACTGGGTAAACCCAGCTGTTTGAGACATGCCTTTTGGTGCCCAGAACGATTTTATTACAGAATTTTTGTAGAGCAAGATTTTAGGAGAGGAATGGAATTTCCAAGAACAACCTAGTATTTATGCATAAGGAGTGACTGGATTATTAAGGAGTGACTGGTTATCACCATGAGGACCTGTCGACAGAAAAACCCATGTGAGGATACACAAAGCGTGATACTGTGCTTTAAGAGACATGCATTCCTCCCAAGAAGATTTATTTCTACTCCAAGATTTCTTCTTCCTACAATTTTCCTTGTTCAGTTAAAGATGATGTCAATCTCAAGAAAGAAAAATAAATTACTCCTCATTTTCTCTAGAGTTGTTTTAATGGAAAGGCAGAATCTCAGTCAAATTACTAGGAACTCACAACAGGAGGATTAACTCATTCAGGAACAAAGCTTTCATTAACAACAGCAAGAACTGCTGCAAATACTAAGTTTGCTTCTATGGGGAAGCATATCTGCCCAAGAAAAGTATGCTTTGTGTTGGGTTGTGGCGAATAAAGAAAAGGAAAGGGTGGTCAGCATTGAAATCCTCTTCTATAACCATGCAGAGCATAGCAATGCCAGCAGTGGCAGCTGCAGCTTCTGTGCCTTCCTCATTCACTTCCACAAAAGCCTTGTGGACAACTGCAGAGAGGAAGAGATCACGTGCCCCTGACATTCCTGACAAGTCAGCCTTGCCACTGTCAAATACATCCAGCAAGCCCATAGCAACTAAATCTGATTTAAGATCATAGCTTTCTTCCAGCTTAAACTTTGGCAAACGCACATGAACGTCAGTGTAATACAGATTCTCTGGACGTGTCCAGTCCTGGAGCATCTCCAATGTAAGCCGCTTCTCCATCTAGAATTAAAAGGACAAGAAAGCATTACTTATCACCAATGTAGTATTTCATTTTCAGTAACATTTATGAGGCTTTGTTTACAGAACATTATACAATGGTAAAGCAGCTATGCAAAAATGAACATAACCTCATCTTTGATAGCTAAATAAAGATCAAAAAATACTATTACAACTAAGTGGAGTCAGCGCAGTTCTTACTTTACGAAGTAATGCAGACATTTGCTTCTTGCTGCAATGTACAGAAGGGAAAAACATGCACTGAGAGAAAGCCAGTCTTCTTACTGTTTAATCTAACTAAATGGACTTACCTAATTAAAAACAAGTAACAAAAATCATAATCAGAGAGCTCAAAGAAGCAGGTCATATAATGGAACTTTCAAATCTACTGAAAGACAAATTCTGTCATTAAAAACAAATATTCAAAGCAAGTTAATTCTCACAGTTAATTCTGTTTTCAGTCTCCATCATGGTTCAGTTCAGCAGAGGACACATGAACACAAGCTACAAAATCAGAACACAACTTCTCCTCCTGATGCAGTACATTCATTTTTTCTTTACTGCTGTACTAGTAGAGAGTAGTCTAAAAATACACCAGATAGATCTGGTGCCCTGAGAACATGAGTTCACTAAGGCTTTAGTATTGAATGGTTGAACTTAAAAACACTGAGCAACTGCATTAGCTTAGATGGGTCACCTTCTGCAGTCCAGTGGAGTCGTCTTCAGTATCTCTAGGTAACAGGATGAACATACTAAGTTCTTTTCCATCGTAAGGCAGCTCTAAAACACAGATCTTCTCTTCGGGGATGTATCCAAAATTAAATTTATTTTTCTGATACATCATTTTTACTGTCTTTTTTTCATTCTGGATGGATAAAAGGCACAAAAGCAACAGGTACCAGGTAAGTAACAGGTAAGGAAATACTCATTTAAAGAACCAATAGGAAACAAGTAAGTAAAATCAATAAAGAACCAAAGAAACAAGTAAGTTAAAATTGCATTTATGTAAACACTTGTCCTCCATTATAAAACTTTTTTTTTTCAGACTTCTGACTGCTTGTTTAATAACAATTTCTTCTGAAGAAATAATGAGGTGGTATTATATTTGGTTCTCCTTTGGCTTCTGTAGCACAGGCCTCACAGAAACCGAAACTGTTTCTTCAAATTGCTGTACAAAAACGTTCAGCCAACAAAGATAACTCTGTTTAGCACACAGTAACTTGTAAAGCTGTTAACATAAGCAGAATATAGAACAAGAAGATGGGGTTTAATCAAAATGTTCTGTCATTTTAAGACTGCTTACCTAGCATCACAAACAGACACAGTTCATAGCTGCTGATCTGCTGCAGACAGAAACCCTACTAGGTCCTAAACCATAGGTGAGAATTGTCTCTAGTGCTATTCTAGTAAATGAGACACCAAATAGCTTGCTGAATACAGGAAAATACTAAAAATCCACAAAAAATAATTAAAATATTAATAAATTACTTTTTATTTCTTAATTATTTTATCTGTAAGCAAAGCTTCACATTACCACCTATATTATTAGACCTTTTCATTAGACATGTCCTACCAGGACATATCTGAATTACCTTATTTAGCCAAAATGGTGCATCAGTGGTGTCAGCTTCCTGAAATTTCGTTGCCCAGTTCGCTTTGAAATAAATAGCATTCACCAGTACCAGCTTGGTGATGCTATCAACTGAGCCCTCAGACAGCAGATCGGGGATTTTGCCTTCAGAGGCAGCAGAAAGAAGGGACACAACAAAATCATGTAGTAAGTTGATGGCACATAAAATATACATTGAGAAACTTATGCCATAGAAATACTACAAATATAAAACAAATCTATTCCTGTAATAATGTGTATTTCAGTACCTGTCTCTCTACTTCACCAATACTTTTTCTTAATACATGCTACTATAACGTTTGATACACAGTGATTTGATGAAAATGTAATATTATTAGTCTAAACTGTCACATGCAACCCATCACAAAAGAACTACAGGACACCCACATTAAGGAATATGGAATTTAGAAATATATATACTATGTATATATAAAATGTCTTGGTTAGATAATTTGTTTCTGTCCATACACCAAATCCCAGGGCAGAATTAAACTGTTCTAACAACTGAAGAGAATAAAGCCCATTCCTCCTTCCAAAATAAG